TGCATCTACGGTACGGTAATATAATTCTATGTTTAAAATTGGCAGTACAATAAGTTTTATAACTTTCATTAACTTCACAATATTTATTTATTCGTTAATAATTAATTAAACACCCTGTATGCAAGACATTTTTATTGTTAAATGCAGTTATTCTTTTATTAATTCACGCGCGTTAGTATGGTTGCATAATTTAAGTGCCCATTTCGGATTTTATTATTTAATTGTTGAAAATAATGTTTAATATGGAAAGTGTGCTTTGTTAATTATTAAAAAAAACTTGTTTTTTGAGAAAGACGATGAAGATTACAGTAAAAGTGAAATTATAGCTATTTTGTAGGAATTGTAAGTTTCATTCTTTTTATTTTATATATATTTAGACTGCATATATTTAACAATTATTATTATACGTACCTACTTACACGAAATTTTTGTTCTAAAGATCAAAATCAACTATTAATTGCGTTAAGTATACACACAAAGTGTGACTGACTAAAGGTACTTTCTTTTAAATAAAATATTTTTCGGCTGTTGCAAGTACAGATTTCATACTTACATAAATGTTAACTTACTTCAAATTTTATTGTTCTTTTACATTAAATTGAAGGGTCTTAGCCCTTAGGTTTTACATTTATCTCCCATTAATCCCCAAATGAATATACCTGTTGCAGTTTGGTTCACAATTAAAAAGAGATATTTTATTTTGATAATTAATTTTTTACTAGAAAATATAAGGTGAATATTTTAGTATTTTCCTTTACGTTTTTTATTAATGTATATTAGCCATAAAATGATTTTGTTGTACCTAATGAATTTATCGCATTATTTACGAGAACAGAAAACATTTTGAGAACAGAGGGAGAACCACATGACCTATGCTTACTTGGAAAAAGCTCCTAACTAGAAATTAAATAATAACGCCTGGCACATTTTTAAATTACGGTGGCGATGTCACATTATTTCAAATATTTTCCGAATTTTAGGGGAGAAGGAGTTTTAATTTTACCTACATTCTCAACCACTTCCCTTCGATTTTCTCCTAGTTTCTTGAACTGCAGCTACCAAACTTTTAACAGCCTCTTCGTGTCCTTCGAAGCTATCGGTCTTTTTCAAAGGTAAAGGAGCAGGAGCAGAAAGCTTATGGCACATGTGCTGCCTCCGTTTCGGTGGGAAAGTTTCCCAACTTCTTTGCTTCTGTGCCAAAGACATATTTTTACTTCTTCTGTTTACAACCACTATCAGTGTCTTATCAGGACCATCGAAGCTTGATCTTCGGCTATTACCAGATCCCGAAGACATAGAATCTACTGAATCTCTTCTCGAATAAAAGACATTGTCCTCGCCATCACTGTAAGGATATATCTTTTTGGCAGGTGTACGTGGTTTCTGGGTTCGAGGTTTGTTTTTACACTTTGGAGTCGTAGGACTTGATTTTGTTCCATCAGCGTGTACCATTGCTTTGATACTCTTCGTGGATCCTTCTGGTACCTGTTGATATTCTGATTCTGATTTTGCTTTTCGCGTTTGGAATTCAGCCTTGGGGCATGTGTTAATTTTATCACAACTTTTTCCCATTTTCTTATGAATCAAACGTTTAGTCGTCCCTGTTTTCGCAATTTGTTCCAAATCAGTTTTGCTCAGTTTAAAAGAATCTCTCACTGATTTCTTCTCAGTTTCTGTATCTGATTTAGACACTTTAGCTTGTGGGGCTTGAGAAGATCTTCGGCAAACGATATCGTGAATTTTTTCCTTGATTTGTGACTCTAATTTGTCAATATTAATTTGATTTCCGAAATAAGGAGGAGGAGTTTTTTTAGTTTTGGGAGGGATGGGAGTCGGTTTTTGAGACGTGGTTTTTTGGGGAGTTGACAGAGGCTTATCAACCTGACCTGCTGATTTGCTACGTTCACGTTCTTGTATTCCTGGGCGAACCTTTGAAGAAAAAACACCTACGATGAAGCTATAAAGTTTTTAAAAAGTACTTTAAAGGATGTTAATATACGACTTAACAAACAAGGAATGATAACATTTGGCAATTAAATATCTTAATTTGATTCAATTACTTTCAACCAAAATCAGTCTAAACGATTAGAATTTTATAATTCGTCCTTTGATAAAGTAAAGAAAATCCACATTGCTTGAATTGCCAACTTTACCTTTTCAAAAGTTACTCACCTTTTCAAGAAGTTGAGCCAATACTCGACTTCTTGATCTTGTAATTTTACCTAACTGTATATCAGATTGTTGAAGCAAGGATTGGAGTTGTTGTGCTTTCTCTTGAAATTTATCGCTTTGAACGGAAGGAGCAGGAGTTAAGTTACGTACATAAGGCTCTAACTGGGATGCTATGTTACTTAAGTGCTTCAATTCATTCCTTAACGTCATTACATCCGCCTTTTGGCAACTGAAATTTGCATTAGTGAACATAAATAATAAATTGGAAACTGACTCCCAAATTGCGTATGTTACTATTTCTATTGTGTCATTTTGGAATTGAATTGAATAACTATAAGAAATTAAATGATCAATAATTACTAAAGAATATAAATTTCTAATATTACCCCGTGTGAGACCGGGTAAAAAAAGAATAGTCTCACCGCATATCTCAGCGTGTCGTAAAAGGCGACTAAAGAGATGGGCCTAATGAAAAGGGAGGAAAAAAAGGGGAATCCCCCAGGGCTAGGTTTCTATGAGGAGGCCTGAACATTGGGACTTTAATTGAATTTTGAAAAAGGCAAATGAATATTTATCAAACAAACATAAATTGTTGATGAAGAAATACACCTATTACTCCTATTAATCTTATCACCACCTAAAACGGATATGGAGATATCCAGAAAGAGAAATAAAATTTGATAAAAAAGAGAAACAATCCATATGAAATAATACTATTATTGTTTATACCTGAAAACCTCCTGTTCAACTCGTATGCGCCAAAGTTGTTCTTCCCATGAATTATCAAAGACGGTTGCCATTCTTTCCAATTCCTGTTGTTGCCTCTCCAGTTGTTTGTCCAAAAGGGAACAGTCCCTGACCAGAATTTCATACCGTGCAGATATAGGAGGAACTTGGGCCTTACGAAGGGCAATAATATCTTTGTGCAATTCAGTAACACGATCTTTTACCGCGTTGAATTGCTGATTGAGTTCCCTGATGTGCGTTTCAAAGGAACGACAGTGAGCAGAAAATGTCCCTGTACTTTCCAACAGTTTGCTCTTCATAGCGGACTGTTGTTTTCTAGATGCTAATGGCACTGGCTCGTACACTTGAGGTGCTTTTAACAATAGAAAAGTTTTGTAAAATTACATATATTAAAATCTCGAATAAAAGTTTAAAAACTCTTTAGCAGGTTTTGTAGAAATGAATCATCTACTCAGTGACATTAAAAAACAGTGTTACAACTTTTGAGGTCAAATTTACAAAACTATTCCAATAATGGCATTTAAATTATATAATTTTCCTCTTTTTTTCCTTCCTGGTTCATAGTTAAAGTCAACCCTTTCCCCCAATTTTATCCTGATCATATTTCACAGTTTTAAAACTTTGATAAATTTCTCTGTCACTTTATCTACTGTGATTACATTATTAGCAGGTTTCATCATTTAAAAACTTTACTCCTTTTTTAGTAATTAGTCACCCTAATCCCAATTTCGTTTTGATTTTAGAAATGGACAATTTTTCCCCTTTTTAGCTTCCAGAGTGACCCCTACTCCAACTTCTTTTACCCCCCACTTCTTCTATTTTTGTAGTTAATCCCATTCCCAGAATTATTCTTATCACTTTTGTCAATTTGTTGCTATTAGAAATTTTATTCCTTCCTTTTTATTCACATCAACGTTTCAATATATAGTCTAAAAGCTTTTCTTCTAACGCTCTCCGATCTTGGTCATTTTTCCCCGTCTGTTAATCATTTAATGACTAAACTAGAGTGCAATTAATACACATCTTTATCAACCCATAAAATGTTATCAGTTTTTTTAACTTACCTGATGCAAGCTCGGCTAGATGCTGACTGACGGCAGCTTTTCCAACCCAGGGTTCTAAACATTGAGCAAATTCACTTCGATAATTAGTTTTAATAGACGAAGATTGCAACGATCTAGCAAAAGGGTAAAAAACGTTTATCTAAAATACGAACGTGTTTAAAGGTAAAATGTCCTGTATACCTTACGGGCTGACTAAGTTGACCTACGGACGATAGTCTTTCTATAAATGCAGGACACAATTCTAAGAATTGGTATTTATTTGCTGCAGACATGAACGTCTGGCATAAGACTAAATGCAATTGCAGTACAGGCATTACAGTACCTACAAACAAAAAAGTAAAATAAAAACGTCTATATATATATAACTGTAAAATAAAGGCCATAATAATATTTCTAATAAAATTGCTAATTTTGTTGTAAAAAAGGTGATTTTTTTTTAATTTGGAAAACTTCTGTCAATTGAGCTTTCCTTTTGTTTACAGCAAATGTGCGATGCATTTCGGCCATGTTGCATGGGGTGTGCAATATTCTAAATACTATTCACTGAAGATTGGCACACGTATTGTTAAGTTTCGAAACGTTGGAATGTCTGGGTCAAGCTGATCTTGCGGTGGCTAGGAAGCTACACTTAAAGACTTAAATGGGCATTTATATGCATGTAAGTGATCTTTTTTTAAACAATTTTTAATATGCTTTTTCTTTTCTTTTTTTGTGTGTTTGAAAGACAATTTAATTATTGAATTAATAACCGTTTACCCAATAGTAACAGTTGACTTCTATAAATCCGTTCTTTACTTTCAAACTGCCTTTGAACTTCCATAATCATAGCAGCGTGGGTCTTTGCTATGGCCTCTTGCATTCCCTGACAGAAAGAATTGATGGTATGCTTTTCTGAATCCATATTTCTTCTTAATTCGTCCATTAAACCCTTGAGCGCAATTATACCGTCCCGCACCGAATTCTTTAAAAGATAAAAGTAGAAAAAGTAGTAGTTCTGTGTCATAACTAAATTTACCTGTAAATCCATAAGTGCACTTTGACCCCGTTCCAGCTTTTTAGAAGCTTGAGAATAAGCGGTTTCTATGTCGACGCATTGCGCTCTAATTTCGTTCGGAGTATCGCGGAAACAGTTTACACAAAGCATTGCATTTTGCATGGACGAATACATTATGTATTGTTCTCCATGTTGGGGACACTAAAAACCGTGCATAAGAAAAATCTAATGCTACCGACGAATGTATTATGTAGTACCTACTAATTGTAAGAATATAATGTCGCATCTGTTAACTTATACAAAATGACAAGTGCCATATTTGGGACCATTTAATGGCCCTCATAAATATAAAGCGAAAACTGTGATAAAAAAAATTGGGGGTACCAACTTTTTTGCAATAAGCAATTTTTTTAACATAATTTTTGTAAAAATAACATTATATTCTTACTAATTATCATTTTGTACATTAACATAATATTTGCCCCAACAATGTTGTTTATGAATTGATACTAACGCGTCTTGGTTCTTTTATACACTTGGACATGTGTACTACTTCGTGACTAGAAAACATTTTGGCCCTATGGGTGCTGTCTCTACAATGGGTGCACAAAGCCTGACCTAAAACATTTCCTTAATTACCTTTTTAAAAGACGGTTACCAACAAAAAATATTAAAGCAGTTAAAAATATCGTTAGGTTAAGCAAAGCGCGTTTTCAAACTCTAAGGAATACTTTGATTTTGCAATCGCCCTGTATATAATAAAGCATGCCAGAAATAAACAATTTACCGGAAATATATTTCAGATAAACGCATCTACTACATTGAATTATTAAGTTGAGTAAAAGCGTCTTTTTTGTACTGACCCGCGCTGTTCTTAAAATATTCAAAAACTAAAACAAAACTGCTTACATGCCACATGAAACTGAAGCCAACATAAAAAGTAATAAGAATAATAAATTTTCACCGCAAGTGTTGCAATAATACATGTTGGATCTGTCTCTCTTATCACAGTTTGAACACGGTGGATTTTCACTATTAGCGATTTCTATTAGTTGTCTCATTAAAGTATCCGGTGGTGGCAGGTTTGTTCCATCTTTTATCATTGTAAATTGTCTTTAAAATAAAATGTTATTAATGCCGCAAATTTTAAAACATTCACGGTATACTCATAAAGACAAAGCAACTTTTTAGTTGAGTTATTTTGCAACAACCAGTGGTCAACTTTTTTTTATTCATTAATTTTATAGATAAATTTAATTTCATTTATGTAGTTATTTAAAAAATGAGAATATTTTTTTAAAAACTACTTGAAAACATAGTGGTCTACAATTTTCCAATATTTTTGTCTTTAAATTTTTTCATTTTAAAAATTAATTGTTTATTACGAATTTTATTACCTTTTCTGTTATTGTTTCATTAAAAAAAAGTTTTTATCTCATTGGCAAAAAAGTATAAGAAATATTTAAAAGTAGATAAAAATACTCACCCACATAGTGGACAAGTTAATCTTCTATCTTGTTCTCTATTTTTTAAACATCTACCACAAAAAGTATGATAACAATTTAGTATACAAGGTTCTGTAAAATAATCGTGACAAACAGGGCATAGTAGAGGGTTTTTAACGAAATCCATTTCTACAGAAGCTGGTGTATCCATTTCTAAGCTACAGTTACTGCAAATCAATTATTAAGGGTTCAAACGATATAACTGTTTATGAAAATGTTGGTATATACCTTAAAAAGTAGATTATCTTCCTCTAATTCACTGTAAATTAAAATAAATGAAAGTAGGGTATGCAGTTGCACCCTATCATACGCGGCTTTCTATATACTAAATATTTGTGTGATAAGGGTGGGTAATATGCAGTGCTGCCACGCTTAGGTGAACGATTTTAACTCAAATATGAAATTAGTTTTATAGTATCGACTTAATAAAATAAGTAAAATAGCAATGTTTAATTTTATTTTTGCGCAATTTTTTGTTTTCGTTTTAAAAAGAAATCTATACAGGAATGTTAAAGTGGTTGTCTATGTTGGTGCATCTACGGTACGGTAATATAGCAACCTATGATTGATAGCAACGTTACTATGGTAATCATTCTAAAATCCATGTATGTGCAATCCATACTTTATTACCATAGAAAATTTCGATTTCCCAATTTTCCATAAGTTTTTCTTACTAATTTATATCATTTTATTGCTTATATTGCATATTGTTTGTTTAAGCCCAATTCGTTTTAATAAGTAATTAAAGATTTAATTGTAAAATAGAATTATTATTTTTTGGCACGTTAGGTCGAGATTTTAAGAATAAAATAGTGATATGCATACTTCCAATTCAAAAAAACATTTTTGGGGGATTAAGAATTAAGTTAGGTTAGGTTGATTCGAAAATTTTTCTAAAATCTCAACGTTATGATTATCTTTAATATGAAAGTACGTATCGTACATTTCCCTTTTCGTGATTTTTCAAAGTTGCAATTAACTTAACGGCATTTGTTTTGTTGATTTGGTTCGTTTTGCCCTTGCAGTCCGTGTTTTTTTTGTAAAATGTTTTCGTAATAATATGGACTATCTGGCTCACTAATAATTTTGTGTTTTGGCAACAGAGCTGAAGTATTTGGTTGACTAGCGCGCGCAACTCCCCCACTACCAGGCTAAAGTAGTAACAACGTTCAGCGGCTAGACGCGATTGGAGTTAACCGGTTTAGTAGCTTTCTCCAATTTCCAATTTCCAATGCCTTTCAGTCAGTCGTATGAGGGTATCTGATACAAAATTGCCGTCCATTGTAAGGACATTACTTTAGATATGAAAAATCGTGTATTTTTTACGTAAAAAGTGTATTCTTTCAAAGTGCATAAAAAGACAGAAACAATGATAGTTTTAAAAGTTTTTAGTGTATTTTTAATAGGGTATTGTTACGCGTCCACTCCAAATTACGCAGGTAAGATTTTCTCACCTGTCTTGATTTTAATATGTACATTTGTTTATGCATATGGTGAAGCATTAAGAAATGATGAACGTAGTAGTGTCAATTAATCGTTTTTAAGTTTAAACATGATCGCCCTAGACCTAATTTGATTTATTCCGGCCGATATTTATAAATATACACCTACAGGTGTACTCTTTTCAAAATGGCGCTGTAGTGGTCCAGTGCATTTTTTGGTAAATTGTCGTCATACAAACCTGCAATCGCTGCATTTAAACGCGATGGGAGATGCTTTTAATTTTTGTTTGGTTAGCATTTTCCAGGGTCGAATAAAAACCGATATGGGTTTGTGTCAAGTGACTCTTGGGGTTTGAAGCGCGCAATCATGCCGAAATCGATAGAATTGAAACTCCTTTTTGCTGTTTTCTGACCGTTTTGTTACATTGACGTTTCCAAATTTCTTTGCAGTTCATTACATTAAACGTTTACATAGCTGTTACTCATCGTCTAAAATCAAATGTGATTATTTTTATTACTATCCAGGGTCATTTTTTTTAAAAAGTTGACATTCATTCAAACTGTCGAAAATATCAATATATTTTTTTTGCAATTTTAAAATATTTGAACCCTAGTATTATCGCTAAATAAATTTGTATCTACTTCGCCTATAAAACGCTAAAATTTCTTTACAAAAAAAATTGAGTAGGTACATTTTATTTCTGTTACTTCTGACTGCAATAATTTTGATTTTGTTGTTGTACCTATATGATAACGATAAAGCTTCCCTTCTGGTAGTTAATCTATTTTCTACATATACCATGGTTATAACTTGTCACCTTATGTTATATAAGATTGTACATTATGTACTTCATTGCGACTTTATGTAGTGATTCATGCCTCTTACTATTTTACCAAGTGACACACAGCATCATATATTTAAGCTTGCACTTCTTTGGAATCGTGATGAAACGAATTTAGGCGTACCTATATACAATAATTTAAACCTGTTCAAAATAAAACGATGATACCATACACCTTCCACATTAAAAATAGACATTTTCCTTCAGAACGATACAATTACAGAGCAATAGGTATTAAGTGAACCATTTCATCATGAGTTCCAAAGATAATGTGTTGAAAACTTTTACAATTTAGTTTTTTGGTATAATACAAAATGAATGAGTAAATAGTATATAAATAATAAAAAAAGTGAAGTGGTTGATTGAAATGGTCCAAAAAGTAAGATTGATTTAATATTCAAAATAAATACAATGTTTGATTTCCTAATAAATTGGATGGTAGTGCACCCGACAAAAAAAATTTTATTTTAAAGATCTCTTCTTTAAATGGTAGGGACTGAATAAGACAACTTCAAAGGCTGAAGAGTTCTATTTGTTATCGAAAAGTACTTCGGACTTTCAGTGTTACATTTTAGCGTTAGGGTTTCAGATTTTTATTGTTCTACAACACCCCCAAAGTTTTCCAATCTAGATTAATATTTTTTTTTCTAGTGGGCATTAATTACCTACGTCACCAAGCTTTGGAGCTTTTAGAAAATTATTCCTAGAACTGGAAAAATATTGTAGTTTATTTAATTTTATAAGGAGCGTACCAATTGTATGTTTTATAAATATTTAGTTGCAGTACTTCTGTAAAATTACACAAAAGTCAATGAATTATCACATGTAGGTAGCCCACCATACGTAACAAAACATCAAGAGATCAACAATGGGTTGCCTAGATTGCGCTAGTAACAGATTGTTTAAAATCTACATTATGGAATCTTTCTAGAATAAGTCAAACCCCTATAATTAATTGCTGCGATATCGGAAGAAGAAGTTCGATTTCGAGGTGACAGAAAGCAAAATAACTAGAGTAAAGATACAATAAAAAGTGCGATATAGTGATAAATTAAAAAAAAAACACCACTATTATTAACTAATCACTCGTTCACTACTGTATCACACACTTTATCGCTTCTTCGCGCTTGTTATTTCGCTTTTTGTCGCCTCCAATTTCAACTGACTATAGGCCTCTTGGTGATTCTTAGCGTATGGTGGGTTGCCTGCCGGTAACACTGCAACAATAGTGTATGTGACAATATTAATTAATATATTAAAAACTGAAAACGCTATTCATGATAACGTACTGCACAGTATTAATTTAGGTAGGTACTTGCGTGTGATATGTCTGTAAGTATGCATACAAATATTACCTTCTACGAATTCCAAGCAATTATGCTTTGGATTGTCGACGTAAAAATAGATGTTATCTTTAATAAAAAAAATTACACAATTCAACATTCATGAGATTGTTTAATTATCACATAATGATTGATGAAGCATTGTAGAAAAATTATGGGTTACACTTTTTTAATGCAAAACGCATGAATAAATTACTGTCAAGCTAGCAAACTCGTATAATAAAATAGCAAAACGCACATTTAGTGTTATTTTAGCGTTCGAATTGAAATATAAAGTGATTTTGTGTAAGTAAACGAATTTGTTTCCAAAAGTAAGCACGCTGTAATTTAGTGCTTTTTATGTGTATTATTTAGCAATATTTTTCAATCTTATTGGTTTATTTTAAGCATTTTTTGGTGCGTAACAGCTGGAGGACAAAGCACAATTTGCAACATATTGGATGTAATAACGCATGTTGATAATGGTTCTTCCACAAGCATTTTAAAAGCGGTAAATTATTGTGTACATACTTTTGGAAAAAAATTCATGAAATGAAATATATTCTACTTTAGCTTTCACTCAGAACCACCACTAATTTCCATAGAAGGAATTGAACACAAAAATTTTAATTAGAACACCAAAAAAAGCACTAAATTCTGATGTGAATCGTTTTGCCATTTTGTGATGTATTTTAATCTACATATACAAAAAACGAACCACATTAAATGGGTATTTTTACTTCTAGAATTAATTTTCCCTAAAATCACTTCAACACGAAGTATTCTGGCGTTTTCTTTCTCTTTTAAAATTTGTCTTGTATACAACAGTCCTATTAAATGCACATTTTCAATGCTTCATCCTTCATTTTACGTTTAATAAAAGGGCATTAGGTACCTCGTAATTTATGAAGGAAAACGGTCCGCTAAGGGTCATTGACGCGGTCTGAGCAATATTTTCCTTAATTTTAATCTCGGCATATAATCGGTATATTATACATCAAAACTGCGGTTCCCCGGGGCAAGATTTTGAAAGAAACAAAAGAGAAGTCGACGCGCTCCTTTTCTGTCTTCTTTAAGAAACAATTTATCAAAGTTGTCGGGAAAAGTTTTTCTTACAAAGAAAAATAAAGAAAGTATGATGATCAATTTCGAGAACTTGACGGTGTACAATTCATCGTAAAAATATTGTGAATAAATTGCGGGAGAGAATGATAAGAAATGCGCCGGCTAAAGTTTTGTTATTTCGAATCTCAAAAGCGAGTTTATATTACAACTTTTAACTTGTTTAAAAGAAAAAGAAACTTCTGTGGTTGTAAATAAGGGAAACAAATATTTATAAAACCGCATCAAAACAAACAACTTTTCGTTCAAAAACACGTTTTATTTTTTCAGAAGTTTGTGTAGTATATTAGTATTTCTAATTAGTATCTACATTTATCTATGTAATGTAGATTTAAAGCCTAAACTCGCTAATTTGCTTCTTGTACGTTATAAGTGGTTTTATAACGGTTTATTATCAGATAGTTTCGCGTGGTTTAAAGGTTTAAATACGTCCATGATTAATTATGCACTTGGACATATACAGGTAAAGCAAAATGTTCACCGAACATAAGAATTACACACGCTACCTAATGCATATTTTGGTGATGTACTTTATTTCATATTTAGAAACCCATATTCCAAAAAAAAATCCTTGACACGTATTTATACAAGTTGTTTCTAAAATACCGAGCTTACAGGAGGTGATATGGTAGTATAAAACAAAAAAATTAAGTAAATGTTTAGTGGTCCGAAGGTCCACTGTTTTCGAGAAAAAAGTATTTGAAAATACAGTCCGGCCCTGGTAGGATCACGCAGGGAAATACGACATTGCAACACCGTATTTCATTGGCTGCACCATCCGTGTTGTACGAATATTTCTTTTGTATTTTGTGTTCTTAATACCATGTCAATGTGTACTGCATGTTACCAGCGATGAACAAATAAGTTATATGTATAATTAATCGTTAATTGGGCGTCTAAATTACGTGAAATAGCGTAGTAGAAAGCTGTTGATGATTACTTTATTGGTCTTTCCATAATCGTCACTGTTTACATTTTTTATCGATCTAGTTTCTTAGTTGTTATCGCAATTTCTCTATACGTTGCCGATTCACGTCCAGGATCGGCTTTGGCAATATTTCTATGATATGGAAGTTGACGTCAGTTATTAAGAGGAAACGAAGGAGTGCTCATCTGATCATATACAGTACCTACTATCTGTCACTTTGAGTTATTCAACAAAATTTTGCTTTTCGGATTTTGAGTTTTAAAATCCCTTTGTTTTTTTTAGAATGTGCTTCATGCTAAAATTACCTAAGTAAATGCATAAATTAGTGTAGATACAATATCTGGAATGAGCGTTGAGTAAACTTTGATGTATTGATTTTTTCGTTTTGCCTGAATCGGAAACTCGGCTTATCAGTGAATACGTGATTGAAACTGATATGGATTTGAGTTAATGTCCGAATTAATCCGAGGTAATCGAAGCTTAATCCACCCACGGCTTATGGGCGTTAGTTTTCGAAATGAACATGATAGGTAGTAACAGTTTGAAAATAGACATTAACGCAAAAATCCTGCAATTAAATTTTATGTTTGCTTAAATACTTTGATCTCTAATTAAAAATCAACACTCTTAATTAAATTTTTTACTTTTATCGAGTAAAATACAAATACTGATTGATTTTTTGCTGATAAGTACTTATGTCACAATCAAATTTTGTTTCAATTTCTTATCTCAAAAAAAAATAATAAAACTTCACTAAAACATATTATATAGTGAAAATCTTAT